TTGTATAATTTTTTATTAGTTAATAATAACAACTATATCAATCATCGAAATAATTACTTTGACTTTAGTAGATCTTGCCAATGGTCTGGAAGTTTTCACATTCCAGGTTTACAAAATAACACTGACTCTAAAGTTGGCAATGAAATTTTGAACATTGAAGATATCTTTAAATTTTCAACTAAATAAGTAATGCTGCATTGAATGAAACAAAAGATAATCCAATAATACCAACGATGGTGAATATGCTGTGTGAGGAAGAATTTCCTCTCTCAATTTCATTATGATTTTTGTGGGGAAGTGACAAATCAACATTTATAGAAAAGCTTCATGCAACAGAATGACTATACAATTTCTCTGTACTGTCAATGGCCTTTATTCTTTTATTGCAAACCACAAGATGTAAAGATGACAAGGTTGTTATGACTCCTACAATTATCTTTTTTACTTTTGATGCCATCTTGCTCAACTCTGTATATAATTTCTACCTTGAGAAAATTTTAGCAGACTAAAATAATATATATATATATATATATATATATATATATATATATATATATGTGAAAAGTGTATATAAATATAAACAAATATATATATGTATAATTATTTATATATTATATGCGCGGTACATATTAGAAAGCACTCAATATATATTTTCACATTTTTCACATATATTTTGCTCCCCCCCCAATGGGTTGAGCACTCGCGCTATTCTTTTAACGAAAATGGATAAATTTGACCTACAATACTCACTGAAAAACATCCCCATACCTACCCAAGCTTCATACAAACTCCAACTAACAGAGAAAATCGAATGTCTAATAAGACGAATGAGATGGAAAGCATATTTCTCCCTCAACGACCCAAAAAACCAAACAACTGAAAAACCTGAGACATTCAACTTTAATACAAAAAAGTGTCCACCAATATGCAAGAAAATGTTAAAATTCGAAGAGGACATGATAAATATAGTTAGAACCTTGAAATTCAAAGACACTTGGACAATTTCAGAAAAAATCATAGACGACAGGAAAAAAATAATCAACTCCAACAAGGTATTCATTTTGGCTGACAAAACCACAAACATATATACTATAGAACCTACAGCCTACAATCAACTCTTAACCAACAAAATTACACAACTATACAAAAAAACAAACATGAACACAATAAACATCATAAACCAAGAAGCCAAAAACATAGCCACCAAATTGAATATAGATGAAAGAGTAAACAAACTAGCTGAACATCATGCTTTCATCACGGCAAAGGACCACAAAGCCAGCTTCATAGAAAAACCCACATTCAGACTAATCAACCCGGCGAAGAGCGAGATAGGAAAAATTAGTAAGAAGATCCTAGAAAATATCAACACCACCCTAAGAGAAAAATTAGATCTCAACCAGTGGAAGAACACCAAAGCCGTCATAGAGTGGTTTAAAACGATAGACAACAAGAATAAATCCACTTTCATCCAATTTGACATTGTGGTTTTTTATCCTTCCATTACAGACAGCATATTAAATGAAGCCATAAAACTGGCACAGCTAAATGTAAAACTCACGGACAGTGATATAAAAATAATCAAGCATTGCCGCCAAATCCCTGCTGTTCCACAACAATGAACCATGGGCAAAGAAACAAAACCACAACCTGTTTGGCGTAACAATGGGCAGCTACGATGGAGCAGAAATATGCGAATTAGTAGGCATACTCATCCTATCATACCTGGCCAGAATCCTGAGAGAAAGGACACAGGATTATACAGAGATGACGGTTTTATCTTAATAAGGGAATCCAATGGCCCCAAAGTAGACAAATTCAGGAAGAAAATAGTGAACACCCTAAAAACATTGGATTCAAAATAGAGATAAATACAGGCACAACAATAGTAAACTTCTTGACGTCACTCTTAACCTGATCAACAACACGTATGAACCATACAAAAAAGAAAATGACACCCCAACTTACGTACACATCCTCCAACCATCCACCTTCTATCATCAAACAAATACCAAAATCAATCAGCCGCAGACTATCTGAGAACTCATCTAACATACACATTTTCAATAGTAAAAAAGCACCATACAACAAAGCACTAAAAGCAAGTGGTTACACACAACAACTACAATATATACCTCCACAGCCAAAATGCAGAAACAGAAAGAGAAGCATTATCTGGTTTAATGCACCATATAACAAAACTGTTAAAATGAACATAGGCAAAATATTCCTAAACTTAATAGAAATACACTTCACTGAAGAAAACAAATTATCAAAAATATTCAACAAAAATAACGTAAAGATCAGCTACAGCTGTACAAAAAACATAACAGAAATAATTAAAAGTCACAACAAAAAATGACAACCTACAAAAATGTAACCAAGGATCCAATATGCAACTGCAGAAACAGAACAACATGTCCACTCCAAGGAAATTGCCAACCATTTAACACTATATACATGGCCAAGGTAAGTACAAACAACAACACTATGCACTACATCGGTGCCACCGAAGGCCCATTCAAAATGAGGAATAACAATCACAACCTTTCATTCAACAACAGGAAATATTGAACAGCACAACACTTTCTACATACATATGGCAGCAAAAAGACAAAAACATCACACCAACAATAAGTTGGAAAATATTGAAAAAAAGCCCTGCCTACAACAACATTATGAAAAAATGCCTACTTTGCCTACACGAAAAAGTAGCAATACTATCACACAAACCATAAAAAGAACTTACTAAACAAAAAATCAGAGATAATCTCCAAATGTAGGCATGAGAACAAGTACCTATTATCCGAATTCATACCAAACGGATAAAACAAACAAACCACCAACAATCACAATTTAATTTCTGTCTCCAATCCCTTGAAACATTACTATCACATCATACCATATAAACCCATTATTAAATTGAACTACCCTCTCACCCAGCACATTGAATATTAAACTAAACATCACCATATAAATTAACCAATAAGGATTACAAATTTCTACCTGTTACATATACACAGTCACCAAAAACAAACAAATAACCAGCTTTAAATATAACAAATAAAGCCCTATTTTTCTTTTTTTAAAATTTAAAAAAAAAAAAAAAAAAAACAATTTTAAATGTAAATTAAGTTTAAGTGTCTAATGATCTTTTTTCTTTTAGATTTGGTAGACATTTGGGTGATATCATTTTTCACACATAATTTCCATGACTTAAATAACATAATCCAATAGAGAAATAAATAAATTTTCATCAATAACACTGATTTATTTACTGCCGACTTTGATCCATCTTAATGAAACACCCTATATATATATATATATATATATATATATATATATATAATTATTTATTTAAAATATGATTCCAAATCGCTACATAAGAGGTCTCATGTTTCAAAACAAGAGCCGAAAAAACTTCAATATAATCCTTTAAATTAAATTGAGTTGAAAGTAAAATGGGCTCCGTTCCATTATATTGAAGTTTTCGGCTCTTGTTTTGAAACATGAGTATACTAAGGGACTTTGGATTATTTACCTAACCAGTTCCTTCCTATATTTTCATATATATATTTTATATATATATATATATATATATATATATATATATATATATATATATAGAGAGAGAGAGAAATTGTAAGACAAAATGGACAAAAAAAAATTAATTGTGACACCTTTCATCCATTAGGATTTCATTGGACTGGGTTTGTTGATGTTATGACTACACATACGCATGAACAAGAGTCATTGGTAGTTTCAAAATTTTTTAACTAATTTTTTGCAATCTAGCCAAATTCATCTATATTCTTTTTCTTTCCCTCATCTTTGTTATTAAGATGAAAATAATGTTAAAATATTTTTTAATCATTTCATCCCATGCAAGACAATAAAGCCACAAAAATGCAAGGGGTTACTGAGTGTAGGATAATATAAGGAAAGAAAACATTATTAAGGAAAGTCAATAATAAAAGAATTGGAATTAAGAAGACAGAAAATAATCAAAATAATAAAAGAAAAAAACCATTGAATTTAAATTTTTGAAGATCAAAGTTGAAAAGCAAGAAGCCAGAAGATAGTTCCACAAGTGAGAAGTGCAAGAGAAAGAGAATTTATGGCTGCATCTAGCCATTTCAATTGTAAAATGATGAGACCTAGCTGCCAATCTAGTACTGCATTTAAATTCATAAAGTCTAGGTAACATAGAGGAAAGTTCATCAGAACAATTACCATGAAAGTATTTATAGAAAAGGCAGAGGGAAGCCACGTTACAATGGTGGAAAAGTGACTGAAGTTGAGATGTCAGGTCATGACCAACAACATTACATATTATTCTTTGTATTTTATAAAGAATCTCTAAATACATAGCAGAAACATCAAGCCAGATGTGGCAGCAATATTCAATGCATGGATGAATTAAAAAAACAAAAAAAAAATTACACACAAATGATATAATTACAGTTTTTACTTTTTTCTTAATATCCCTTGCCAAATTACGTGCATACAGTATATACAGGCAAACATGCAAACCCAACAAAATGTTAGTATCTTCAAAGAAAATTACAGCCTAAAAACCAATAAAGCAGTTCTTCATCACACAGCTTGACCATTTGATAATGTTTGGCAAAAGACTATTTTAAGTCAATATTAATTGGAGATGCAAAACAAATACTAACAAAAAGTTAACAGAGGGAGAGAGGATAAAGAGATATAAAAAAACAAAACAATATGAATGGACTGAGAGAGAAAAAAGGTCTTTATAAATTGATCAATGTCTGCAAATCATTAATCATTATGTTGCAAAATTTATGAATATTTTTTTATTTCTATTTATAAGCAAAGAATGGTTAGTGCCCAGTAAAGAATTCAAAGAGGAGAGTGAGATAGCGACAAATCAATTGTAACTGGCTCGACCAGAACCAAAAAAGCCACCAAATAATCAACTCCATGACTGTTTTTGAATCATGCATTCATCCTTCAAGCGAATCAATATTCACCAAGGAGCCACAAGGAACAGAAAAGGCGAAAACACTCATTCATTCTTTATGAGCAAAAAAAACCAAGGCTGACATTGATTAGACAACTGGGAAGATGAAAATGATTCAAGGCCACATGAATTTCAAGTTAGGTCTCCATCTTATCAGATATCAACAACTTTGGTCCAAGGGTAACCAATGAAATATTTTATCAAACTAGCAAGGCTTTTTCTTTTTAAGACAGACTTGTCATTGTATATAACTCCCTGCTTTCCTGTTTAGTAAGAATTAAAATAAAATGAAAGTACAAGACTAAGGATCCAAAGATTCAATACCTAAGCATCAGTTAAGGTTGCTTTTTTACCAAAATAAGTAGAATAAGGGAAATTGACATGCTTGAAAAGACTTATTTTCTAAGGATATTGCTTATCCAAACTGAAAAGATTATCATAATCTTTTCCTATCTCCCTCATTAAGCCTTATACTACATTAAGGTAAGCTCAGTAAAAACAAAATTTCAAATGCTGATTTTAAAGGTAGGCATGTCTTCTACTTGGGAGATTGATGCAATACAATCTTCTACTCTTCCATTTCTCCAAATTTGGTCTAATGCTCTACTAATCTTAGCAATAAAACCAAAAGCCTAGATTTCAAATGCTGATTTTCAAGGCAAGCAAGATTTCTTTATTTTCAAAAGTGACGCAGCAAATTTTGCTTTATTTAGCATTGTGCCATACTAAATTTAGCCTTGTGCCATACTAAGTTTTGCATAGAAAATATTAATGTCATAATGAAAAAAGGTATAGCTTATTATTTATTTTTTTTTATTTAGTTATTAAGAAACAAAAATTGTACTGTTGATAGAAACCAATTAACAGGTCTACCCACTTTTGTCACACTGGATCATTCTGTGTCATACCAACAAGGGTCTAACCATCACTCAAGATGGATTTTTTCAGATATGGTACACTTATAGAACTTCCTGATACAAATTGAATGGTACTTATTTTACATCTCTAGGTCAAAGGGTTCCTCAGATATGACCCTTTAATCCTTGCCAAAAATGTGATTTTTGGAAAATAGTCACAAAATTTAAATATCAATATCACAGTTGTTTCTTCAATTATATAACATTTTAAAGTACTTGGATAGATCTAAAACACAATCTATTTTTTTTTTTGTTTAAAGGTCAAATAAGATAATTTAACTTTGAATTTTAATTTCTCCAAAAAATTTATCTTTAATTTAAAAAAAAAATTTGACAAATTTTTCTGCTTTATGGCAAGACACATACAAAATTTTGTGGTGGACTTTTGACTATGGTCTGAGTTACAAAAGTTTTATTGAGTTGGGACAAATTCAAAATGGCAGATTTTGGTATTTGCCACTATATGCTAACATTTTCATATCTCCCAATATGGTCAAGTTGTATAACTTTAGAAAGCTCTTTGAATGCTGATTAATATCTACATAAGAAAATGAACAGAATTTGTGTTATTCATTTTTAGTTTTGTTTACATCTTTATTATACAATAGATTTTTATATTAAAAAATGACATAATAAAAATAATTATTTAAAAAAAAGTTTCATGAATTAATAACCTAAACTAATATAAAAATATGCAACAAATGATGTTAATGATTAACAAATTTTTGTTGACATTTGACACGGTTCACTAAATGCACAAAACAACCAAATTTTCAGTATTTTTATATATATTTAAAAAATTAAGTTTTGATCTGAAAAAATAATATATTGAAATGAATATTTAAAAAAAGGTTCTTAACATTTACAAAGATATTAATAAGCAAACCCATTGTGAAATAAAATTAACAGCTTTACCAGAGTTTTCTGAAAGTAATTCAACATCAGCTGAAGACCAGCCATAACCTTCTAGCATTTTTGTAGATAGTGAAAATGAATTGCAACTTCTTAATGAGTCACCCTCAATTATTGATTAATTACCAATGAAGTGTCAAAAGCTTGAAAAACAAACCAGTTATGAGGAACAAAAAGTAGGAAAAATTAAAGGATCAGTATTAAAGAAAATTAAATTGATTTTGACTAAAATTTCACATCAAGAATTTACCAATGTAGAAGTGTATAAAAAAATCTAATAAAAGTGAAATTATGACACAATTAAAAGAAAAGTTTTCAGCTTGTGAAAAAAAAAAAAAAGAGGTCCAATTTGTATCATAAAGCTCTATAAGTGTACCAAATTTGAAAACAATTGGTGTTGGTGATAATCAGACACTTGTTGATTTGACACAAAATGACTGCATTGCTCTTTTTTCTCTCTATAAATGATAGTGATACATAAACATAGAATAAGAGTTTGAGGATTGATTTGTTTTTTATGGTTTATCAACCCTTTGTGGGTTATTTAAAAACAAAACATATTTTGAATTCTAAGAATAATTCTTTTTTTTGTGAGTCAATATTGCATTAACAATTTTTTAGAGATAACAATATTTTTTTCCAAATAAGAATCCTACTATTTAATCTATAGCTTTGTGGGGGAAGAAGAGATGGATTCATACATTTCCCAAGGGTATTTTTATGTAAGTGAATGTAACAAACTTGACTGGAATTTGAACTCAGCTCTCTGATTTCATATTCCAAGCTGTTATCCATTACATCACCTGCACATCCGAGATTTTGAGGAAATACATAAATTAAGGTTAATTTGAAAAAGAAAGAAGTTCAATTTTATATTTACAAAGACAGCAGCACATTACACAAATGAACAAAGCAATTTTTTCTTGTATTTTTAGGAAACGTATTTTTAAAAAAAAAAAAACTCCTTTAAAATGAAAATTGATTAGATTAAAATTTAACTTTTCAATGAAACAGATAAAGTTAATATTTTTAGATTTTGTGTGCCAGTTAATGGCTGGTTTGCTGGGACTTTCTGAAGCTTAAAATATCAACTTGTTCACTGAAATTTGCAAGAAATATTTTGCTTTTCTATGAGTTAGATTAAGTTTTGCCTACAATAAACACTGTATTTTGTTCTCAGTATATTTATTATTAAACCACTTATTATTCTGGAATGGGAGGCACTTGGTTCCCAGGGGAGCAATTTCAAATCTGAGGGGAGGAATTTAAGCCAGCAGAAAAATTGGGTATTAAATCAAATGAAAATTTTATTATCCACTAAAATAAGGATTTGCTTTTTCATTTGATTGCAATTAATAGAGCAATTTAATTTTATAAGTTATTTTTATGAAGAACAAAAATTTCAGAATTGTACCCCAATGACCTCTGGAATCAATAAAGTATGATTAAGACTGCTTGTGTCACTTTTGTACAAATCCTTTTGGAAGGCGGCATGAACACAACTCTGAAAGCCCACTGTCCCACCATATATATATATATATATATATATATATATATATATATATATATATATATATATATATATTGGTCACAGCTTTTGTCAATGGCATTTCATAATGACAATGGGTACATACACATGCTGATTACTACCTCTAGCTGGCCTAATTGTGAGCAGTATTTATTTAAATTAACCATTTGGTTCTTCAGTAAGTACTGAAAGTTGAGGACTCCATTCCAGACTTACCAAATACACAATGTCACTTTCTTTAGATGAAATGCATTTTGCTTGTATTATGACATTTTACATCACAATTTGTTTAAAAAACATTTTTCTTATGTTTAAGTGGCAAATTGTAGAAATATCCAGTAGTTTTAGCTTAATTTATATGGAAATCACACATCAAATAGATTAACATAGTGCAAATTATTTTCAATCTTATTTGGATATTTTGGTTAATATTTTGCCAAGATTTGATCTTTATCAAACTCAATTGCCTTGCTTGACAATGGAGCATTTGTGAAAATTTGCAAATCACTTCTGACATGTTTGATCATTTATCATCTTGAATGTCAGAATCCATAAATAAAAATAAATCCATTTTGACCAACATTTTTTTTACATAATGAAAAATAATTGCTAAAAAATATTCAAAACTGATTTTTTTTTATGAACACCAAGCCCAATGCTCCTAAAACTATCTAAAATTACTTTTTTCACCCCCCCCCATATACATATACACACACACACACACATATATATATATATATATATATATATATATATATATTGTTGTAGCATACCTATGGATGATAATGGGTATGTCCCCATTCACATAAATACAGTAGTAAATACTGTATGTTGGTCTGTAGTTGGGGATTTGTCTCCAGCTGTGCTGGTTGAACTCTCTGCCTGGAGGCAGAGAGGATCCCCAGACAAAGCTATATTGAAGGGCAGAGGCTCATCTTGGGAAGCAGCTACCTGACCCTGTTTTGTATGGAGTCTACAGGGAATTTTTGGCTGAGCCTACAAGCTCAGATACCCCACATTAAATTTGACCTTGTGCCACTTCTGACTGCGTGGGGTGGTTGGTATATATCCTGCAGTTGGAGATTTATTGTGGAATTCACTTTACTTCCTTCTAGCAGTTGATGACTTCTACATGCTGCTGGTGAATCTTATATGTATTATTCTTGCCCTAAGTATTATTGTTCATTATCAAACTTAATTTAATTATTCTATTCAGTAACCTTTCTAAGTTATATATATATATATATATATATATATATATATATATATATATATATATATATATATATATATATATATATATATATATATATATATATAAATAAAATATGATAAAGTGTTAATTGGTAATCTGTATGGATAATTCCAGGGAGGATATAAATCCTGAGAGCTCACTCTAGTAAACAGAGCAAGTAATAATTAATTAACAATTCAGAGACTTCAGAAAGCCATGGTAATATTTTATATTTCGCGAGACTGATAAAATTCAATTTCACTTCATCAGACCTTGCGGTTTCAAAACAATGAGTGTTATATATATATATATATATATATATATATATAAATATATAAAAAAAATCATTGTTGGCACAGAAAAGTTCTATGTCTAAACAAGAAGCTCTTCATCACCAAAATTTTAATGTTTGGTCAAATTTTGCTAAGTAGGTCACCTTGAGAAATTTTCAGCACCTCCTTG